TCCTCCTCCTTCTATTCTCTGGTTAATGTAGATTCCATATTTAAAGCCTTACATATTTCCATATTTAAAGCCCTAGCAATTGTTCTGAACTATTGTATTTACATTTTCAAAAATTGCCTCTAAAAAGAATGACAGCACTGAAAAATTGAGTCTAGAAAGGTATGGAATTATGGCAGAAATGTGTAGGAACCCTGGTAAAGCCAAAGCTTTTTGAGAAATCACAAAACCTTATGTAGACTATTTTTACTTTTAGTAATTCCTCTTGTCAGGTATTTCCTGACAAGCATGTGGAAAGCTCTTTTGTCCTCCTTACTGGATTACATGTGCTGGATCTGATCCTGATATTCTCATGTGCTCTCCTTTGGCAGGCCACCCCTCTTGATAAGGAGGGGCAGGTTCTCAGACGAGGATGCCACCCGAATGTGAAGCCGTCGCCTTTGCAGATGATCCAGAAAATGACAGCAAACACACGCCAGCTGGAGCCTCCCAGTTGCCTGCCCGGCCTGACTGCAGACCCTCTCTCTCCAACCCCTGACACTTGCTCCGACCCCTCCTTGGATCCAAGCCCCCTGTCGGACTCCGATGATGTCTCCATCAGCTCGGTCAGCACTGTCTGCTCCCCCAGCTCGCCCTTCTAGTGATTAGATGGAGGGGGGGGGAGGAGAAGCAAGGAGGAAATCCTCATCCAGCTCCTCCTGCACAGAGGAGAAGGAGGAGGAGGAAAAGGAGATGTCCCCACAGATTGTGAGGTCATTATGGATAACTGTGGAGAAAAGACAATTAAGAGAGAATTTTAAAATCCCCTGAATCCATCTATCCAATTTAAGAGGAGAGATTGATGGAGGGGTGGAGGAAGAAAATGGACTTTATTTATTTTTAACATTCTCTCATCTGCGCACATGTTGAGCTCAAGGAGCAAGAAAGAGCAAGAACTATTTGCTTTTCCGTGATGATTCGGGCCAAACATGGAAACTTCCTCACACTGGAACAACTCAGTATGGCAATATGAGAACACTGACCAATGTTCATGTTTTATTGAACCTTATTTAACCATGGTTTATTTACTGCATTTTTTATACACATTTCTCTTTTTCACAGAGGAAAAAAAAATGTTGTCCTTGTCCTAAAAAGTTTGTTGGAATGAAAATGAAGGAAACCGAAGCAGAAGTAGAACTTGGTCAGGTTATTGTAGGCTGATGTAGACTTGATAAACACTGGATTCAGAACTTCAACAAGAGGAAATGTGTGAAGAAGTTCAAAGAGTCTTGCTACACCTCTGCTACACATGGCCTTCTCCTAACACTGGGTTTGCATTTTACAAAGGCGATAATGGTGCATTTTATCACTTCTTTTTACTTCTATTTACCTGCTGTAGTCACAACATCTTAAACCAGAAGATACAGCAGCATCCAAATGCTTGTAGCAGACATCTGAATTACTTTTTTCTTAACACACTCATTAACTCAGTCACTCTGCCCTGACCTTTATTTTTAACCAACACCACAGCTATAGTTCATTAATGTTCAGCTGCCTCTGAACAAATTTGAATATCATTGAGAAGCTAATATATTTCATTAACTTGATTCAAAAAGTGAAACTCAATATTAACAACAAGAGTGTTAATTTCAGGTGTTTACTTCAGATAATTTTGATGATTGTGGCTTACTGTGACTGAAAACCCAAAAATTCGGTCACAGAAAATTAGAATATTATCTGAGACCAATAAAGATGGCCTTTTTTGACAGCTTACTAAAAGTATGTCCATGTAACTACTGTACTGAATATGTACTCGACGCAGGGGGTCCTTTTGTATAAATTACTAGATCAGTGGAGCACGGCATGCAGGCGATCAGCCTGTGGGTCTGCTGGGGTGTTGCTGTAAAAGGGGCCTTCAGTTCATCTGCATTGTTGGGTATGGTGTTTCTCATCTTTCTCTTGACAATATCTCATAGATTCTTTATCATGTTTAGGTCAGGCAAGTTTGCTGACCAATCGAGCACAGTGATAACATGGTCAGTAAACCAGGTGTTGGTTGTTTTGTATGGACAAGCGCCAGGTCCCATAAAATAACATTTTAAAAATCAATTTTTATTCATTTTATGTAATAATCTGATTTTTCTAATAACCAGGATTTGGGGTTTTCATTAGTTATAAGCCATCAGTAATCAATAATCATTCAAATTAACAGAAATAAACTATTCAAATATATCCGTCTCTGTTTATATACCTGCATAATATAAGATTTTCAGCTTTTGAATTCATTCAATGAAATAAATTTGCTTTTTGATATTTTAATTTTTACTGATATGTATCTGTATTCCAACTTTAAAGAAAGGTATCATTGTTGCGGTCAAATGCTCCTTAAATAGTTACTGAGAAATATTATGTGGTACCTATTTACACAAAGGTATTGCAGTCTTTTTACACTTCAGGATTACAGAGAGAATGGCAGGATGGATGAAAACCAGCAGCACTCGTGCAAAGCAGTTAAAAGACAAAGAAGGACTTATTTAAGCTCTGTAAACCTCATTCATGACTTCATTTATTTAGATGAAAGCATGACAGACATACAGTAGCCTATTCTTATAATAAAAACTGTTTAGTGATGAAGTATTGTTTATATGTTATGTAAAGAACAGTTTTATTTATTTTGATAGTTCACAATACAGTATATTTCTTTACTAGTAGTAAATCTATGACAATTGTAAAAAACTGAAAAGAATCTAAAAAAAAAGAAACAAAAAGATTCATGTTTGACAGTCAGTAAGCAGAAAAAAAATACCAGTCCAGGCGTCATCTGGTCAAAATGGAAAAAAAAAAAAAAACAAATACCGTAAGAAGAAAAGTATAATTTTTATCTGATGTTGTTCCACTTAGATAAATCCACTCTACATTTGAAAAAAAAGTAATAGAAACTATTATTTTTGCTTCACATTCAGTTCTGACAAATATGTCTTTCTGTGTGCAAAATCAGCAAGTAGTTTTCATTTTTAGTTACTGATGTGAAGGAAGAAATGCAAAACCATAAGTTTTTTGTAAGTTTTAATGTTGTGGGAGATTTCACTAAAGTTGTGTCTTTTGTCTGTGTTTCTGAATTTCTTCCTATCATGACATATACAAGGTAATGTGCTGCAGTATAAATATGTTGTGCTGATGAAACCCACACTCTCCGGCACACGGTTAACCAAAGTGCTCTCACTGCTGCTGCACTGCATTCAGTCTGTCCTGAATACTGATACCTGTACCTCTCTTCATCAATGGTCTATCAATAAACAACAGTAATAATTAAATCATGTCTAAAAAAATATTTTTTGTGTGTTTTTTGCTGTTACTTAGTCTGATTGTTATCACACAGATTAGCTCCCTTCAAATAAACATGATTAGTCTCCTTAATATCTTTTCAAGTCCATTTTCTATTAGGTTTTTTAGAGTGCTAGATGACTAAAAGTACTTTCGTGGTTGATGGTGCAGTGCATACATACATATATACAGTATATACCCTCACCGGCCACTTTACTAGGTACACCTTGCTAGTACGGGGTTGGACCCCTTTTGCCTTTAGAACTGCCTAAATCCTTGGTGGCATAGATTCAACAAGGTACTGGAAACATTCCTCAGGGAGTTTATTCCATATTGACATGATAGCATCACATAGATGCTGCAGATTTGTTGGCTACACATCCATGATGCGGATCTCCCGTTCCAGCACATCCCAAAGGTGCTCTATTGGATAGGGATCTGGTGACTGTGGAGGCCATTTGAGTCCAGTGAACTCATTGTCATGTTCAAGAAACCAGTCTGAGATGATTCGTGCTTTATGACATGGCGCGTTATCCTGCTGGAAGTAACCATCAGAAGATGGGTACACTGTGGTCATAAAGGGATGGACATGGTCAGCAACAATACTCAGGTTGGCTGTGTCGTTGATACGATGATCAATGGGTACTAAGGGGCCCAAAGTGTGGCAAGAAAATATCCCCCACACCATTACACCACCACCACCAGCCTGAACCGTTGATACAAGGCAGGATGGATCCATGCTTTCATGTTGTTGACGCCAAATTCTGACCCTACCATTTGAATGTCGCAACAGAAATCGAGACTCATCAGACCAGGCAACATTTTTCCAATCTTCTATTGTCCAATTTTGGTGAGCCTGTGTGAATTGTAGCCTCAGTTTCCTGTTCTTAGCTGACAAGAGTGGCACCCGGTGTGGTCTTCTGCTGCTGTAGCCCATCCGCCTCAAGTTTCAACGTGTGCATTCAGAGATGCTCTTCTGCATGCCTTGGTCGTAACGAGTGGTTATTTGAGTTACTTTTACCTTTCTATCAGCTCAAACCAGTCTGGCCATTCTCCTCTGACCTCTGGCATCAACAAGGCATTTGTATCCACAGAACTGCCGCTCAATGGATATTTTCTCTATTTCGGACCATTCTCTGTAAACCCTAGAAATAGTGGTGTGTGAAAATTCCAGTAGATCAGCAGTTTTTGAAATACTTAGACAAGCCCTCAGGCTCCAACAACCATGCCACGTTCAAAGTCACTTAAATCACCTTTCTTCACCATTCTGATGCTTGGTTTGAACTGCAGCTGATTGTCTTGACCATGTCTACATGCCTAAATGCATTGAGTTGCTGACATGTGATTGGCTAATTAGAAATCTGGATTAAAGAGCAATTGGACTGGTGTACCTAATAAAGTGGCCAGTGAGTGTATATCCATCCATCATTGTCCTATACCCGCTTTGTCCCTACAGGGTGCGGAGGAGCTGCTGCCTGTCTCCAGCAGTCTACAGGCGAGAGGCAGGGTACACCCTGGATGGGTTGCCAGTCCATCACAGGGCAACACAGAGACACATAACCATGCACACACCCATCCTAAGGGCAATTTAGAGAAACCAATTAACCTAACAGTCATGTAATTTGGAGTGTGGGAGGAAGCCAAAGTACCCGGACGGAACCCACACATGCACAGGGAGAACATACAAACTCCATGCAGAATGACCCCAGGCTGGGATTCAAACCCAGGACATTCTTGCTGCAAGGCAACAGTGCTACCAACTGTGCCATACGCTCCCGGTCAAATGTTTTTCTCATTTAAAAGTTTTCTTTATGTTTATGACTATTTACATTGTACATAGATCTTACGGAATCTATGTTCATTCACAGTTTTGATGTACACACACGGGCATACAGGTATCGATAGATCGACAGACAGACAGATAGACAGACAATAGATAGATAGATAGATGGATGGATGGATGGATGGATGGATAGATAGATAGATAGATAGATAGATAGATAGATAGATAGATAGATAGATAGATAGATAGATAGATAGATAGATAGATAGATAGATAGATAGATAGATAGAT